AGAAAAAGAGGAGTAGAATGACAGGCCTCTTTTACTAGTGGTCCAAAATCATATGGCCTAATAAAGGATATAAAAGCAAATCAAATATGCCAATATGCCCAAGGCTTTTTAAGGGGTATCATCTCTGGTTCAAATCAATCCCACCTTTTTAGAATTTCTGGAACTTATTACAATTTTCTAGTATTTGAAGCATTCCATTATACCATATCCTTTAAATAATATAAGAGATCCAGAAAAGGACAGGCTCAAGTAACTGTTAACCCTATACTCAAGATTTTACAAATTAATACCTCGTTAAGTATGTGCTTTTGTCTTTTCTGTGGGTAAAAACCTTACCCCAGGTTACCCTTGGGCACATTTCAGTTTCACTACCTCAGCCCTTGAATTCTGTAGTAGACGGGTGAGGGATAGAAATTTAACATAAAAACTGAACTCAGATGGCAGGAAGTCATACCAAACTGTCAGGATAGGCTTTTCATGCCTTCCTTAGCTGTAGGATCAGCAGGGTCCAAAGGCTCCCAACTTTCCTAAATATGCAATATCTTTGAACTGACCACACAATAGCTCTGTATTTTCAAAACCTGGTGATTGAAAAAAATAATGACAAAAAGTTGCTACTCAATCAGGGTGCCTGGGCGGCTCAGTCGGTTAAGCGTTCGACTTCAGCTCAGGTCATGATCTCACGGTTTGTGAGTTCCGGGCCCGCGTCGGGCTCTGTGCTGACAGCTCAGAGCCTGGAGCCTGCTTCGGATTCTGGGTCTCCCTCTCTCTCTGCCCCTCCCCTGCTTATGCTCTCTGTCTCAAAAATAAATAAAAACATTAAAAAAATGTTTTTAAAAAGTTGCTACTCAAGAACTGATCTCTGTGAGTCTACACATGTAGTGGGTATGGGGCAGTACAGTGAAGAGATGAAGACCATAAACCTTGGGTATGGGGGCAGTACAGTGAACATAAACCTTAAAATCAAAACTGCCAGCACCATTTACGAGCTGTATGATCTCAGGCAAACAAATGGTTCTGTAGCCTCGAATTCCTCATGTTTAGAATGAGTTTGATTCTACCTCCTGACAAGGTTGCTAAAAGGATTATATGAAAAATAAAGAAAGAAAGCTTTTAGGAGAGTGCCTTATCCTCAAACATATACTTACATATTATTAGAAATTATTATTATTACTAATATTATTAGTAATATTAGAATGATAAGGAACCACAGGACACCTGTTTTTGGAGTTCTGGGTACTACTCAAAGATCAGACTAAAAATCAGTGTTGTTGGAAGTCCAGGGGAGGGAAGAGAAATGTTACCATCCCCAAAGAGTGGAAAATAAAGGACTTCAATTTACTTACCCATAAAATAGGATTAAGAAAACCTATCTCCCAGGAGTTTTTTGACGCTCCAGTTGTATAATATATGTGAAACTATTACCTAACTATTACCTGCAACCAACATAGTTAAATAAGTGGCCAAACTCCAAATTATTTACTGGTCATTTGTTTCTCTCCAGTAACTGAACAGTAGGTGGCACTCTTGTACCACTTCAGAATTCTTGAAACGCCTACAAAGAGTACATTACTAGCCATCAAGCTAGTAAGTAGAACAGCGAGAATTCAGAGATGCTTTGTTTGGCTCTTAACCACTAGGTTATGCTCTGAAACTAAGTGATAATGTAAGTTGCTTTTATTCAGACAATGTCTGGAAACCTTTGCCCAAAAATGGAAAGAACCAGAACACCTAACACATGAGTGTAACTGATTTAATATATATTTTAGCAAGTTGAGGTATATGCTCCATTGAATCTGTAAGTTTTTGCACAATTCTGGCTTATGTGTGTTCACAGCCCTAGCACGCACGTAAGCATTCAAGGAAAATGGGTGTATCAAGACTTCTAAATGCCAGGTTCCTCAGTGACTCCTTTAACTGTGCGTATGTCCTCTCAAAGTCCTATCTAAATGTCCGTTACCTTACTTCCCACTCAAGAGGCTTCCAAATGTCATTTCTTCCTCTATAAACCCCAATGCTAACTTTAACACCACCATATACACAAAACCTATTCTGAAACACATCTCCCAAGTATTTCCCTTCCTATTCTTACCTTCTTCCTCGTCCTTCTCTACTCAGATAAAGCAAGTAAAACAGAGGGGACAAAGAGTACTTAGGGACAGATACTGAATCCAACCAAGTTGTGTTGGTTGTTTATGCCACACATATGCTTACCCACTGTGTGTATAACACTGTGTAGGCCTGAGGATTCAGTAATCAAGAAGACATATTGCTCCCTAGTTGGAAAAAGCTTATAGTCTAGCAGCAGAGACAAGTACACAAACATGATTACTGGAGAAAAAAGTAGAATAACTGCCACCAAAGACAGAGAGACAGAGAGGGAGAAGCAGAAAGCAGGAGAGAGAGACAGAGGAGGGAGAAATGGGCAGTTGGGAAGCTTAGAAAAGACTTCATGTAAGAGATGGCAATGGAATTAAAATCTGAAGAAAGAACAAGGTTTAGGAACCCTGTGGGCAAAAGGAAAGCATGAATTAAAGTCCTAAAGGGCAAATATTGGGCAAAACTGTGGAACAAGTAATCATCTGACTACAGCATAAGGGTACAGTAAGGGAAAAAGAGAAAGGTTCAACAAGTTTGGAAAATACCTCTCCACCGAAAGAAAGGCTTTGAAAGGCAAGTCATGAAGTTGGAAGTCTTTCAGTCAGCAAGTGGGAATCACTGAGGAGAAAAACAAGAATTGTGTACTGGGAAAATAAACCTATCATTCCATCTTTACCTCTTACCCTATCCTACCTATAAAGTCGTCCCTGTCATCTCTGATCCACCTAGGCTGGGACAAGTACCTTTTCTATTCTCACACTATACTACACATATCATAATCACCAGATTTATAAACTTCTATAATTATAGGTTGTCAAAGATAAATAAATACTTGAAGCTACAAGGTATATCATTATTTTTTTTAATATTCCCAGCATATCTCACCCTGTGTATCTCCAAGGCTACACTTTAGAATCATCCAGGAAGCTTTAAGAAAAATACTGATGCCCTAACACCACCCCAGACCAATTACATCAGAATTTCTGGAAAGTAGGACCCATGTTTTATAAGCTTACCCATGACTATAATGTGCAACCAGGTTGAGAACCAATGGTTTAAAGCACAGCAGGTTCTCAATAAATTTACTGGATGGATGGATGGAAGGATGGATAGATGGATGGATATGACAATGATGGAGGGATGAACTAGGAGGAAGAAACAGGGCTATTTTAAAAAGGTACTAGGAGTGGAATAGAGTCATGTCAAAGGGGAAGGGAATAAAAGTGTGCTCACCACTTCTTACCCATAAACTAATAAACTATAATTTGTCTTCAAAATATCTTTTAAATAAAATCAGAGAAACATAAATAATCACAAAGACAACAGTTGTTCTTTTGGCAAGACCTGATCACCCTCCCTCCTTTCCCTGTGCACCACTGTGCATGCTGTGTGGGCTCCCATGAAAATGCAGATAACCGCTTTAATTTTTTTCCTTTCCCAAAATAGGTATAATACCTGTCATCCAGTTCAATTCTTTTCATACTATGAAGGTGCAAAACAGCTAATATTATTGCTACAAGAAATATTACTGCACAGCAAACCCCCACGCTGATATAAAACACACGTGTAGAAGTGGTTGGAGCTGCATGTACAGGATCATCTGAAATAAAAATGAAAAAGCACATTAAGCTTCCTAAACAAATATTATCAATTGCTTTGTGACACAATGAGTATCCTGTTCTTTGTGAGAAAGATTTTCATTTCATGTGTCCATTCTTTGATAAGATCAGTCACCAATGGTGTGTTGATAGAAGTTCTCAAATTTTTTAATGTTATTGAAGGAATTTTTAAAAATGGTTTTAAACAAAACTTTTCATGAATGAATATAAAAGTCACAAGTGCTAGACATATGATAAACCATCTGTAGCAGTGCTGTCCAACAGAACTTTCTGCAGTGATGGAAATGTTCTCTAGTGTGTTATCCAATACGGTAGCCACTGGCTGCCTGTGGCTATTAAGCCGTTGAAATGTAGCTAGTACTACTGAGGAACTGAAGTTTTAATTTTATTTCATTTAAATTAATTTCAAGTTTGGGGTGCCTGGGTGGCTCAGTCAGTTAAGCGTCCTACTTTGGCTCAGGTCATGATCTCGTGCATCATGAGTTCAAGCCTGCTTCGGATTCTGTGTCTCCCTCTCTCTCTGCCCATCTCCCACTGACACCCTATCTCTCAAAAACAAATAAATACTAAAACATTTTTTTTCCAATTAATTTCAAGTTAAATAGCCACATGTGGCTAGTGGTTACCATAGTGGACAACACAGATGTACAGATCATTCATATTTGTTCAACAATGATATCTAGAGTGGAAAAGATCAGACATCTTTGTTACCAACCACTGATTCACAGAAGGAATATACAACACAGTGACCCCACACATTTTAAAAAAACAAACTTTTAGTCTTCTCTTATGAGAGTAACAGATTATTTTGCTTATTTTTTATTTTATTATTTTTTTAAATTTACATCCAAATTAGTAAGCATATAGTGAAACAATGATTTCAGAAGTGGATTCCTCAATGCACCTTACCCATTTAGCCCATCCCCCTCCCACAACCCTTCCTGTAACCCTCAGTTTGTTCTCCATATTTATGAGTCTCTTCTGTTTTGCCCCCCC